TGCGACTGTGCTAGAGAGTCTCTTCCAGGGTTTGAATCACACCCAGCCTTTTGTGGGGTCTGTGGTGGTGGCAGCTGGAAGGAGCTGCCGCTGCCACCTGAGCTGATTAGAAAGGCATGGGTCAGGCCGGAACTCTCGTCTCTTATGGGGGGAGCTTTTGGGGGGCTCTCATCTCTTATGGGGGCACAGCCCCCCCAAGCCCCGGTATTTTGAACCTTGGTCTCTCCAGTTTGTAAGTGAAGGTTCAGGACTGCTTCTCTCTCGTGCCTGAAAGTCACAATTTAGCCCTAAATAAACAAATGTATCAAGTACCAACAAATACATGAGCCTGTATAAAAAATAAATCAATACAAGCTAAATATTCTGGGTTAAATTCTGTGCTGATGTTAAATCAGTGTAGCTTCAATGACTTTGGTGTAACTACAACAGCCAAGGATAAGGTCCACTGTTTGTAGTATGAAAAGAGATAGAGTGAAAAGCGGAAATATAGTACTTGTACTTGGTGAGTGGGATAACAGTAGTTAGACACAGATTTCTGCTGTCGAGATACACAGTTTAGAGAAATACCTTTAGGTGGAGCTGATATCCATAGAAATTGTGCCAATGTGTAAAATACTCCTTTCATAAAACAGGCAAAGCTGATAGCTATTTCCATGGCTTTTAAGTAGTCAGATGCTAGTTAAAACCTGTGAATATGTATACATTCCTTTATATGGATAATTAGCTACTTTATGTGTGGCGCCTCCTGGATTAAGGAGGATTCTTCCATGCAAATAAGAAGTGGGACAGACTGGTAAAATTTATATCTGGAAACAAAAATGCCTCTTTATATAAATATATAGTATTTGTTTAGAGAAGCTTCTTGTTTCATTGGCAAGTGTTAAATTCCTAGACAGGTTTACCTTTTATTAAAAATCTGTTGTTCATTCCCCATTGTTCTTTTAAACAATGCCTATACAGAAACAATAAGTGAATAAGAGAGTTTAAAGACACACATGTTTAAATAGACCATATAAAAATATATGTCTGCCTTGGAATTGCTTGCTCTGTTTAAAAGTAAGTGTTGAAATCTTGATCCTCAAAGTAAGGATCAAGATTGTCTTCAGTAGGGCCAAGATTTGTCTTCAGTGGGGCCAGGGTTTCACCCAAAATTGTCTCTTTCAGTTGTAGGTGGATATTTCTCAAGATTGTCTGGAGACTTTGCTTCCATCTATTAGTTCTGTTATAGAGGATAATACAGGGGTTTGATACTTAAGAATGGACACTCATCAAATTTAAATTCCAGTTGTTTTATAACAATAGCCATATTAGTTATAGATCATGTAAATCTGAAGTTCAAATAATTTTAAATGGTTTTTAAATGATCTTTGTGCAGCCTCACATTTTAGAATTTCCTAGAGGAACTGGTTTATAGTGGCAGGGTGTGATGTTTCATATCCTTTTTCTTAAGAGTTAGGGGAACTTGCACTAGGTTGCAGAATTGGATCTTTGTTCTTGGGTTTACAGTGTAGCTAAGGTCCAAGTCCTACAAGTATGTACATAATGTGGTACTTTAGGCAATATAAGTATCATATTAAAATCACCAGGACTGCTCACAATTAATAAAATTAGATAAAGCCAAAATTGCTAGCTTTTGTAGAAAGGTTTCTAAGAATGTTTCTCTTTTCATACAAGCAGTGCAGGACATGGACTATCTTTCTCATAACTTTTTTCCATCAGTAGTTGACCTGAGGATGGAATAGCTTATCTTCCTAAGCCACATTCAGATTTATGAACATGTCTTTCATTTTCCAAAAGTATCAAATGTTTCCTAAAATCCACATTACTTTGGTGGTCCAAATTTTCTCATTTTTGCATGTGCAGATTTCCTATATAGTGGTAACCATGATGCTGAGCACTTATCCAGATATCTCATAGAAAAATAGGGCTTGAAGGGACCTCAGGAGGTCATCTAATCCAAACCCCGGCTCAAGGCAAGATAATTCCTGACTATATCCCCAGGCAAGTATTTGTTCAACCTGCACTTAAAAACTTCCAGTGATGGAGATTCCATAACTTCTCTTTACTGTATTTTTTTAGTTAGAGAAGTTCTTTCTAATATCCAGCCAAATTCCCCTTGTTGCAGTATAAAATTGTTACTTATCCTCTCCCTGTCTTCTTTATACTGACCCTTTTTTTTGTATTTGAAAATTACCATCAAATCCCACCTCACTTCTCTGTTCCAGACTAAATAAGCCTAGTTCTTCCATCTTTTCCTTGTAAAATGATTTACTAGGAAGCACTTAGCAAGGCACTGTCAAAGCACTTTGTAAGCCAGGAAAGTATCATTATTCCTACTTTACAAATAGGAAAACTAAGCTATAAAGGATAAAATAACTTGCCAAAGGTCTCTTAGCAAGTCAGTGGTAGGCTAGTCACTGGACCGTTCTGGCCATTATTTGGTCAATGGATTTAAGAGCTAAAAGAGACATGATCAAATAAAATCTGATCAAAGCAAGTTTTACTGTTTCTGCAAAAAGAAATGTTGATTGAAATCTGCTGTGAGTTGACTGATACATATATATTCCTTTTAATCGTGTGATTTTTTTTTTTATCATATTCCATAACATTTCAGCTTTTACATGCACTTTTTGTGCATGAGAAAAGCATGATCCAGTTTCCTTCAAATATACTACTTTATATCACCAAGAAGTTTTATTCAGCAAACTTAGGTCTAATACTTCCAAACCATACTGCATGGTCTCTATGTGCATGTGCTGTTGAGTTATATGACCCCTGCCTCCTCCCCTTTCTATTTGCTGGCTCACAGCTGAAGATATTAGATACCACATATCTTTTATAATAGCTCTGTCTCCTCAAAACCCTGACCATAATGTAGTCTTGAATCTTGCAAACATTGCACCATGTGCTCAACATTAAGTATGTGAGAAACCACACTGAAGTTACTTAGTTTACTCATATTCTTAATTTAAGCACATACTGTAAGTATTTGCAGGATCAGGCCTTATTTAGGAAAGATTTACATTCCCATGGTATTTCTCCTCTTTGGTTGCAACACTAAAGACTCCAAAAGAGAGTACATTAGCATTTCAGAAAGACTGCATATGAAACTGAAATAATTTCCAGCTTTATTCTACTGATAAAAAAAGTGAAAAGTTGGGGCATCATCCTGCTTCTATTGGTTGCCAATGGCAAAACTTTCATTGACTGAACTGTAAGCCTTGTCAATGTTATAGAGTCCCTTGTAACTGAAATCCTTGATATAGCCTTAAACAGTTTTACAAAGCCTATGGTGAATGGAAATATTTTAATACATTCTTCTTTTTAATGAAAACTCTTAAGCATACACATGCAGCAGATGTAGGTCTGTATCTATATATTCCACACACACTCCCCTGCTGTGTTTGCAATCCAAACATTGCAACTTGTGTAGTACAGGAGTGCTGAAAGTGATTAAATTAACTGTTCTAATTGGATTGTCTAAAATAAACAACAGGTAAAAATGTACTTCATTCACTTTTAGTTGTGTTGTTAGAAATGCTGGTCATTAATAATATCATACATAACCTGAGAATGTTTCAGGATCTGATGCAAAGCCCACTACAACCAGTGGGCATTTTGCCATTGACCCTTAAATAGCATAGCTTTAAAGTGCACTTGTTAAAAAAAAAGTTGGCAGTAGCATAAGCTATTTCCTTACAGTGATATATTTCTAATTTCCCTTGTTTTCCTGGTTCCCTTGTTTCCTGGTTCGTAGCTGGTTGTATTCTGGAATGACTTTCTTGAGATCCTCTAAATATTTAAAACCAACATAAAAATAGTTTAAGACTTAACAAGGGGATTCTGTGTAATACCCATTACTAAAGTCCCTGTAAAAAGGTAGGGTAGAATCTTGGTTTTAAGTGCTTATTTGTATTTCTTCTGATCTGTCTTGTACCCTGCTTACAGAGACACTAAGCCAAGCCCAAAGAGCTGCTGAAGACAGCTGAGTGGATGAAGAAGACATTTAAAAAAATCCCATTGTTTAGATTTCTGTCACTGGCTATGAGAATACTTAATTTCTTTTATCTCTGGAGTGTTCATTATCATTTAAATTTCATTTTACATTAATTGATCAGGGATTAGTGAAGCCATTATGCAAAAATTAGAATAAGACAAGCCAGATGCGATGAATAATTCATGATGCACAAATTACCTCATATTTCTGGTGTACTTTCAAACTTGCCTCTGACTTCTCCCGGGTTTTGAAATGACAGCCTGCGCTTAAATTAAGTAGCTTTCTGCCTGCTTGGATGTCACACTTCTGGCCTTCCCATCTCCTTATCTCCCTCCTCAGTTTGGGGTTTTTGTTTGGGTTTTTTTTAAATTGAGGTGGAGCAAGTTTTGGGAAACCTAGCTAGCTTGAGCATGAAGGGCCAATGCAGGTGGCCTGCGAAGGAAGGGGAGACCCTATCAGAGGGAGCTTAACCCTGATGAGTCCAAGTGACCCCATGGAGCAGGCGGAGAAGTCCCTTGGCACCGGGTCACCCAGGCGCCCGGCGCTGCCCTCCGCAGCGGAGCAGGGGACCGCGAGCGCTGCTAATTGGCTGTCGCAGCCAGGCCGTGGCCGCTAGGTGGCAGTCGCTGCCTTCCGTGCCGGGAGCCCCCGGGGGCTGCGGCGGCCGCTCACCGGGGAGCTCAGGCTCCGCGCTCGGGTCAGCCCGCGAGCCCGCTTGGCTTGCGCGGGAGACACGCACGGCCCCGGCCCCGGGGCGAAGCGCAGCTTGCTCACCTGTCTTCAGCACTATTTCAGCACCCCCCACCCTCAGTGCATTTTATTTCTACCACTGGACAGTTGTTGTTGCCCCATGAAAGCTGCGGCCCCACCCCTCTGCACGGACCTTTCATCTGGGGAAGTTTTATGACACTTTGTAAATGTGCAAAGTTTTTAATTAGACTCGCCAGACAGCCCGAGGCAGCACTAGCGCCACGAAGTCTTCATGCTGCTCTCTGCTTTACAGCACAACAAGCCGCTCTACTCCTTTGAAGACAATGCAGACTATGTCTACGATGTCATGTGGTCACCAGTGCATCCCGCGCTCTTCGCCTGCGTGGACGGGATGGGGCGCTTGGATCTGTGGAACCTGAATAATGACACCGAGGTGAGTGTGTGTGTGTGTGTGTGTGCGCGCGCGCGTGTGTGTGTGTGTGTGTGTGCGCGGGGCGGGGGGAGCCCTTAACCCTGTGCGGTCTGCTGGGGAGGGAGGGAGGAGACAGAGCCGCCTCAGGTCCCTGCCTGTGGCAGAGCGCGGCTGCTCCCACACACTCCCCTCCTTGTCTCCTCCAAGGGACGTCTCGTGGCACTGCCTTCCCCTCCGTGGGTGTCTCTGGAGAGGGGCTCAACTTTCCCAAGGGGGGCGGGGGGAGCGTCTCACTGAAGGGAAGATGAATTTCCCCCTTCTGTGTCTCCAGGCTCCTGGTGTGTGACATGCAATGAAATGTGGGTTTGGGGGGCAAGGGGAATCAAAAGAAAGAAAGAAAAAAAAAGGGAGCACAAGGACAGGGACTAGAGGATTCTGTGTCCCCTGGAGTGATTGCCAGGCAGAGGATTTTAAAAGCTCTGGGTTTTGTCAGGCATCCAGATTGTAGCCGTATTGGTCTAGAGGCAAAAGGAAGCAGAACTCATGGTTGAGGTGATGTCTCTTATGAGACCAACTAGATGTTTGCAATAAAATAAAATTTAAAGATTTTTTTTTTTGGCGAACATCTAGTTAGTCTATTAAAAGATATTGTGTCTACCACGAGTTCTGATTCCTGGGTTTTGTAACACTAATTTTTTCCCCCTCAGTAACTCAGTCCCATCCCCCCTCTCCCTCACTTCTCCCTTTATTTCAGCTGTCACAACCTGACATTTTTTTGCAGCCACAGCCAGACCTGCCAAGCGTCCCTCGCTCAAGTCACTAGCCTGGATTTTTAGGCGGCTGTGGAAGAAAGCTCCCTTGCTCTAGGCTGAAGGATTGCTTATAATTATTGTTATTTATTGTTGTTATTTAATATTTCAATGGCAGATCCAGTTTGCCTGGAGAAACCGTTGCCTGCTCCCTATCTCCCTCAACTTGTCACAGCTTGTGAGCTCTCCAGTCTGGTAGGGACATGGTATTGCCCATGTTTTCCGTCCCCCAACCTTTCATAACACTTCTGAATGATAACCGTGGAAACTACTTGTATTTTCAAGCCATGAAAAGTTCTCATGGGTTAGTTGTGATTCACCACTTTTCTCCTTTTTTTTTCTTTAGACCTTGCAGCTTTGGTAATATATATGCAGCAATATAAAAGACAAGTAGCCAGATTCCTGTACCTGCAGCACTGCTAAACAATGGGGACCATGGAGGGGGAGGGAATAGTGTCACACTTTTTAACTCCATGGAAAATGAATTGTTGCTTTTTGCAAAAACAGTGGCAAATATTGAACTGTTTTTTAAAAGCAACCTTCTAAATAAGGAATGGAAAGCATATATTTTATATCCCCTTTTATTTGGATTCTTTTGACTTCAATTTGAAAAAAATTGCCCATGCTTTTATTCATTTTAAATTTATAATTCTTAATGAATGTGCAGAATCTTGATTTAAGCTGAATTTTCCTTTGGAAAAAAATCTTTGCTGTAAGAAGTGACGTGATATTTACAATTCTAAATGGCTCCATAACCAAGATCCAAAACTGAGTTTGAAATAGTTTTCTATTACTTAAGCATTAAATATTTTATTCAATGCCTTGTAAATGCACAGAGAACAGCATAAACAGCACAAAAATAAGGTAATATTTTATCTGGTGGGCTATTTTCATTCTTCAAAAGAAAGGATGAAAGCAACAGAAACCAGTATTTCTTCCCCCCCCCCCCCCCGTTTACAATATTTCTTTAAGGTTAATTCAGTCATTAATACGTCTTTCATGTAGTCATGATATACATTTCAGCCAAAGTAAAATACAAATGCAGTTTATGGTTTCCAATCAGTGCTGCTCACCATAAATAAGTATGGACAGGTAAGAGTAACAAACACTGTAGACTGTATTGTCAAGTGGAGCTGTGAGACCTTTTGAAGTATTCTGAGCAGGAAGCAGTGCAGCCTTTTTAATTAGAACGTATACAGCTGGAGGATATACAGGAGGACTCTCCTCAGAATTTCTTTTCAAGAAGGGAGGGACATATCCTTCAGGTGCTGTTAATGTCTGTTTACACAGCATAAAAACTGGGTAAAATTTTAAAAAGCAAAATAGCCCTTTCCCCGAAGATATCAAGATGGAAATTTTGTTCTGTTTACAGTCAATGGGAGTTTTGTCTTCGAATTCAATAGAGCCAGCATTTCATTTCCCCCCTCCCCCGCCCCGCCAAAAAAAAATTATTATGGGACTGATTTCACTCCCCTGAAATAATGAGAAGGATCATGTCCTAGATAATTAGAATTGTTGAGGAATATTTCTTATATAAAAGGAACCTCAACAGAAATGAAATCACAACCGTGCTACTGCCTTTCTTGGACATCCTGAACTACTGCTGATTTCACAAATATTTTTAATTTATAGGGTAATAATCAGGTCTCACATAAGTTACATAAGTGTAACTGTGGAGTATCTCTGGTATTCTAGATTTGCATGAATATGAAAGCCAACTTAATATTTTTCTGACTAAATCCTACTTTGATTTGTTCTTAACCAGTAGTAGAATGACTTTAAAATATCCTGTAATGATAAACTAGCAGGATCTTATTAAAAGGGAGACTTGGGTACGTGAGAAAAACATGATCAGACATATAGGTGCCAGGGCAAGAACCCTATACCAGTCTTCGAAATGTTATAACTGAAGGCAATCAATGTTTGTTCTGACCTTGGTTGTTTGGAATTAGTTTGCAGTTTTCAAGTTTTTCATGACTGATTGTTATGGTATCTGAATCAGTTATTCTGTTTACTAATGAAAAGTCATGATCAGAGTTTTACTCATTAGTCTTTATAATGAAAATGAGGCGACTAACTAGAGAAGTTTCTTAATTGTGTTTAAGCAAGCAGCAGTAGCTTACTAATAGAAATAATTTATGTGATGTCAAAGTGTCTACAGAGATAGAAGAAAATGACAGGTATATTAATGGGTTATTCTGCTACCTACTGATGAAAAGCTCTATGTGTAAGATCTGGATACTATTATTAATGAGGCATTTATGTGTTTTAGGAAATATACTTCATTGTTTTCTAGCTGTTATTTTGAAAACTGAGGGAGAAAATGTTTTTAGATAACATACTTTCCAAATTCTTGAAATACAGCACAACATGTACTAGTTTTATTCTACATATTTATTTTACTTCATTTTAAAAGTGCTCAATCCATGCCTATTGACCAAAATGAGTGTAATTCTTTGATTCTATCATCAACATAATCAATACAGTAATTCCCATGAATGAACTTTAAAAAGGACTACACAATTTGTATGTAACACTGATTTGTGGATACCATATTTGGTTTCTGTAACATCAGTGAAAGTTATCACATTTGATTTATATCCAATAAAGAGATGTATTTTTTAAAAGCTACTACATTTCCGTACTCTCTTGCAAATTTGTACCGTAACAGTAAGTCAGATGTGCAGTTAGATTTCAGACAGAAAGTCTGTTTCCCAGCAGTATGTCCACAATAGATTTCTTTCTTGGTTTTTGGATAGCATCAGCTTTTATCTCTTTCTCAAATTGTCTCTATTGATTACTGTACAGAAATGAATTCTATTTTTGCACGTCTCTGCTGTATTCTGTTGCTTTCAACAATATTTTTCTTGTGCATGACTCATACTTCGGCTTTGAAAGTATATACATAGTATATGTTTCATTAAATAGGTATGAAATATATTCCTAAACAATTTCAATAACACATAAGCAACAAAAATTGAGATGAATTATTGTTTAATTTTCTATGATTGCTTTCTCAATCTATTGCCTACTAAGTTCACGTGGCAAAATAGTTAAAATCTGTCAAGCATCATTTAACAATTTGAGATAATTTTATAAAGTATTTTATATGTAATTTTTAAAACATAACTAATGGTATCATATAACCATTATAAAGTGAATTTGGATCTTTGAAATCCAAAATAGGTGCGTGTAATTTACTATCATTATTCACAGCAGTCAAATCTATTTTAAGATGATATAGTTTGAGTATATTTCCCTCCATATCAGAGGAAAACCGGGGTTGTATTTTTTTCAAGTATTTTAGAATGTTTCAAAGTTTCTTTGATGCTGTTAGATCACTTTGTTGAATGGCAAAAGGTTTTTACTAAACCGTTAGGTTATTTTAATTTACGAGGGTTTATGCTGGTCAGCATGCATCTTGTTGGAGTTTTTTTTCCAGTGAAACAAGGCAATAATGCTATATGAGCCCAAATCAAGGTAGAGTACGTGAACATATTTCAGCATTCTGAGAGTTTGGCTAAAACTGAATGTCTGAAATTTACAGTTAGGAAACCAAACTGGAAGAACTCACATGTTTTTGATCTGCTAATTTTCTGAGAAACAAAATTTAAGAATCCAGCAAATGCACTGAAAAAGGTGGAATTTAATTGTTGAAAAATTGGTAGGTAATAGACCTAATAATTTGCATGGAGCCATAAACTGCCCCACCAAACAATAACATGCATAGGATGAGAAGTTACAGTAGATCACATTTTAATGATAATATTGCACTGAGAGGAGGATGTGGCCCTAAACAGTGAAGAGATGGCAGGGGCTTATTTGCATGAGTACTTCTTTAAGGAAAAAATAGTCATCTGCTACTTTCTGATTCCTGTCCAGCATTATTTCTGAATTACTGTGTGAGCAGATCTATTTTACACTTTACATTGCAGTGTGGTCATTTACAGAGATTATTTATCATGCCAACTGTATTGTGTTCTGAGGTACCAGTTTGGATTTGCAGCTTTCAGTCTGAGACAATGACAAAGGGAAGCAGTGAGTTTCCAGATTTTTAGGTGCTAGGCAAACAGCACTGTTTTACAGTAACTGCTCTGCTGCATGAGTGACTGTGCAGTTACTGGGTACGGCTGGAGTCTCTCAGAAAGTCTGCAAAAGCCCTGCTTCCTACTTTTGCTGATTCTGAATGAGGGACAGAAGGGTCTAGACTTGAGGTAGAGAAAAAAAGAGACCCAGAATAGTATGGAACACTACAAGTGTCTTGTTTTTAATGGAATTTCCAGTGTTTCTGATCTTCTGCCACCAAAATTAAAAATCACAACTAAAGCTGATGTAAGGCCTTTTAAATTTGGTTCATAGACCCTACTACCATTGTCTTAGCTTTCAAACCAGGTTTTAGGGTTATGATAGGAGGAGGGTTAAGATGTTGAAACAGAGTAATTCCTCCCACTTATGCTGCAATTACCCCATAAGGACATGAGAGAGTAGCTGCCACTTACTTACCTGCAGCTTTGGCTCCTGCTCCAGTGCTGCTTCCTTTCCAAGCTGTTTTGTGGGCCCATTCCCAAACAGAACCTTAGAATATGGCCTGGGATGTCCTCTAGCCCATGCAGTCATATGGACTACTTCAAGGCCTGTTCCAGCACCCAGTTTTGGGGTACATTCCTGAACACTTAAACCTTTGCTGTTAAGGAATTCACCAGCACCATCCCTGTCTCCTTTGCTTTAATCTGAAAATCAGATTGTCCCTGTGGAGAAGCCTGTCATGCAGGGTTAGCTGCCTGGGGCAGAAGTAAGCACCTAATCAAACTATTCATATGAAGGGCTGGTGGGTGGGATGTTGCTAGTTTTGTGGCTGCTAATTTTTCACTTGTAGTGAGCGCCCCTGAAGTGTTCAATGTGCTCCCACAGCGGGACAGCTGTCTACATGATCCCCACCTTGGCCAACCTCTTTGAGTCTCTTCGAGCCTCTTCAAGCTGTTTATAAACCAGTGCAGATTTCTGATGCTTGTCCTAAACCAAGCTATATTCAAGGTATATTTCCTGGTAAATTCATACCAAGGGTTAAGTGGAACCCTCATGTGTTTCTGTAGTTTACATAGCAGCACATTGGAATGGCATTTCTAAGGCATTTGGCTGAGCTGGTTGCGTACTGCAGGAAGTCATACTGGGTACATGGAATGAAGGGTTGAACACCAATCAGGGGCATGTCAACCTGCCTCAAGTTGCTTCAGATGCCCAGCTGATAAATGCAAAGTAAGCATCTTGGAAGGGCTGGAGAGGTGTGGAAAGGACAATTGTGTAGGACAACCAAAATACAATCTCAGCAACCGAGTCTTTAGCTGCATTCTCACTGCAGAACTTGACTTAAAACTTGGACTTTAACCCTTGCCATTCAAGTGTGTATGGATTCAAAGCAATATAAGCTTCCTGGACTTAAGCCTGTATTTGTTTGAGGATGCTCAGAGGGCTGAGCTAATATATTGATCAGAACCAAGGTAAGGCTATAATGAAGTCATACTCTTAGTTGATTCTTAAGTCATCTCTTGAAAGGTAAATTGGGGCATATGGAGAAATAAGCCAATGTGGTTTTGCATATCTCCACAGTCAGGAAAAAATATTTGTGTAATTCAGTGCCCTTTATTGTGGAAATGCCATCTCTTTATCTTCTCAACAGTCAGTTTCTCATTCTTCATTCTCTCCCTTAACTCGATAGAACATGTGCTTGAAGAAATAATGATTTTTTTTCACTCCTTATTTCAAGGAATTCAAAGGGACCTGGGCCTCATACAGTGATAAATATCATCCTAAGCTGGCACATTTTGATTCATCACTTGCTGCATAGTATTATCATAATTTATTTTATGATTCTTGTTTCAATAGGTTCCAACAGCCAGTGTGACCATCGAAGGAGCTTCTGCCCTCAATCGTGTCCGTTGGGCGCAAGCTGGGAAAGAGGTAGCAGTTGGTGATTCAGAAGGCCGCATCTGGATCTATGATGTTGGAGAGGTACCTGTACTTTCTTTTCTAAATACTTGGTTGCTGGAAAGTACTATGATAATAAAACTGAATGTTGGACTATGCCATGTGTTGATGTGCATGGGAAAGATTTTTTTTTTGGTATCCATATTGATTTGCTGTAGTACCCTATCATGTAAAGAACCTGTCTGTTTTCTTGGTACCATTGTCTGGCTATGCACTATGGCACCAATAACAGAAAATTGAGAGGCAGTGATTTGGGAGAGAAGGGTAGCAGACCTGCACGTGTGGAAAGGAATATATGTAGGTGGTGAGAAATAGCAGGATGACTATTCTGTGTTTAAAAGCTGATCTCAATTCCCCCACTACAGATTATAAAAAACCATCTAAGCTACAGCGTGTTGTGTGCTGATGGAGTCAGCCTCTTTGTTGATGAATACAGTATAAAACATTCAGTCTGCATTACAATTCCTTGGAATAGTCAAGGGTGAATCTCTGAGCAATCAGCTTTTATGTAGAGAATTTGTTTTCCATCATTATCTGTGATAGGATACCAGGATATCCATCTCTACACAGTAGGGAAACATTATAGAAAACATACAGAATTGTCTGTAACTCACATAAAGTGATTTTATGGCCCATAGCAAAATTGCTTGAGCATGACTCATATTTTTGGATTGCATTTGCTTTTTCTCAGGAGTTGCCTTTCCTTACAAATGTTTGCAAAACTTCTTACTATATTTTTATCATAATTTCTAAATTGTTTAAGGCTATTACACTCAACTTTTCACTGAAGCACTGGCAGGTCAGGCTGTTTTAATTTATGTATTTATTTTTGCATTATATCTCTGAAAAGGTGATTTTTTTTGTCTTCCAAGTGATATGACAGATTATCTGCAGTGACAATGTAGTCTGGTCATATTTATTATCTGGAATCTAGACAGGCTATAGAGAAGACTCTTTGACATACCATACACCAAACAATTCATAAGATTGTTTATTTCTACAAGCTTAACCATGAGCAAATGGATTTAATATTTATCCATTTTCCTCAGAAACACAAACACATCTGGTTAAAAAAAAAGCCATTGGTTTTCATCTGCTTGATTCCGGTTTGTTGTTGTATTTTGCAAACTGCAGCACTGCCCCTGCATTCTTCTCTGCAACGTGCAGAACCCCAGCAGATTTCCACAGAGCTGCTGAAAAAATAGGCCCCAAGAGCATCTATGTCCTTACTTCCTCCTTCTCCCACACAACTCCTCCATTGTATATTTTTAATAAGGGAGATGACACATTGTCTCTTTTTTGCCTTGCCTTCTATGGTAATTTAAAAAAATCATAGCTATACATTTCCTTGTAATAATTCCTGTTCTAGGCAAAGGATACTTGGAGACTAATTAGGCTTGGAGCAGCGTGAGGTTCCTTCATTTCTGCTACCTTATTGAACGCTCATTTCTGATTACTAAGGGTGCTACAACTTAGTTGTTTCCAACCGTGACAGCCCTCACTATTGTGCATCCCTGTTGTAGCTTATGTGAGATTCAGAAATACACTACCATGGCTAGTAAGGATGGTCTTGAGATAGAAAGCCAGCTTAAATCACTAGTGAGGATGGTTCTGATATAGAAAGCCATTATAGTGAATAGAAGCGGCTTAATTTAGTAATCCACCATATCATTTCATGAAGTGTCCTTTTAAAAGTAATTCAGACAGAGGTATCCTTTAGACCTTGATCTAACTCCCATTGTAATCAGTGAAAAGATTCTCATTCACATCAATGGAATTTGCATAGAGATCTTAAATAAGGGTCTAGTCTAGGCAAGCATGCCATATATAGCTTTATCTTTGTCATACAAACTGAATCAAACTGTGGAGACTGAAAGAAGGATGTGGCATATTCAACAGGTAGTCATCAATAGCTAAATATTTGGTTGGGAGAAGGTATCGAGTGGGGTTCCCCAGGGGTCTGTCCTGGGTCCAGTATTGTTTAATATCTTCATAAATAATTTGGATGATAGGATTATTTGCATGCTCAGCATTTGTAGATGACACCAAGTTGGGTAGAGTTGCAAATGCTCTGGAGAGCAGGGCTAGAATCCAGAATGACCTGGATAGACTGGCAAAATGGTCTACAATCAATCAGATGAGATTCAACAAGGACAAGAACCAAGTCCTGCTCTTGGAATGAAATAATTGCATTCACAAATACAAGCTACCTAGGCTGCAGTACTGCAGAGAAGGACCTGGGCTAGACTGAATATAAGCAAACAGTGTACTCTGGTTGCAAAAAAAAAAGCCAATGCTTTTGAGAAGACAAAGAGGGGATTTGATGACAGTGTTCAAATACTTGAAGGCTGATTATAGAGAGGATAGGGGTAAGCTTTTCTCTGTGGCTGTATGGGAGAGGACCAGGGTCAATGGCATCAAGTTGCAGCAAAGGAAATTTAGATTGGAGATGAGGAGGAACTTTCTGACTAGGAGGGTGCTCAGGCTTTGGAACAGGCTACCTAGAGGAAGTGTGGAATCTCCATTCTTGGAAGTTTTAAAAAGCAGGTAAGATAGACACTTGACTGGGGTGGTTTAGTCAGGGATGATCCTGCCTTGAGTAGAGGGCTGGACTATTTGACCTGATGATGTTCCTTCCAGCTCTGCTTTCCTCTGATTCTAAAATTGTGAGATGAGGTAGCGAGGTTCACGTTCTCATCTTGTTTGCCCTTCACTAGATAATCCGTCCCTTCCTTCCTTACCCTGCTACACAGAGCATAGGAGTATGTATAACCTCTAGGCCAGCTAAACTTTTCTGTAGTGCACCCTAAGCAGGGAGGAAAAATGGCTATAGCTCAGCATTCTGGGGAAATGTTAAAAAAAAATTACAGTTGTACTGGAACCCACTGTGTATAATGTACTCCCTAGCCTTTTCTTCTTTTTTTCTTATGGTCCCCAGAAAGATAATTTCAATATTTATATCATACTTAGCTTGGAGGCATCTGTGCAAAGGTATAGTAGGGCTTCAGCATGCCTTGTTATAATCAGTAGGAGGTTTGCTGTTCAGTTGAATGAGAGCAGGAGCTTAATCAGGAACATTTTCCCAATTGCAAGAGTAACATGCTGCTGCCTCTTTCCAGAGGAATATGGCCATGGACAAGAGGATCCTCAATCCTTAGTCCCCTGAGCTTAATGGGGAACCTCCCCCCTGATTAGTTTTCAGTCATGACGACTGATTTTTAGGCCATACAACTCTTTCCTTCTCTTCTGTGGGTGCCTTTTGAAACAGAGCTATCAGAAGAGAACAGGATCCTTTTTTTGCTTGGGTGTCTTTAAAAGTTATCCCTTATTGACTGAAAATCATAGGAGCATCCCATAGCTCTTTCTGAATTGAAAGGAATCCAGGTGATTACATCACTTGGAAGATCAGCAGGCTGTTTTGCAAGAGCATAAGTGCATATTTTTAGCATTTACCGGGTGCCTCTACACAAGGCGTTTACTGTGCAATAAACATCTCAGCATCTACATGTGCACCCCTGTTAGGGTGCACAAAACTAATAAACTCCACAGCAGGGTAGTATTGCCAAATACTACCCTGGTGCAGAGTTTTTTTGAGTAGCAGATGCGTAGCTGCTGACCTGGCTGGCTGGGGCATAAAGGTTCTTCAGTGCAGAGGCTTCCTGCCAGCTAGCCCCTCCACAGCACATTGAGTCTGGTTGGAACAGCCTCAAGCTGGCAGGCTGGCCCTGGGACCTCCTGCTAGCCAGGGCTGCTAGAACCTAGCTCCATGTGCTGTGGTCCAGGCGCATGTATAAATGTGGCTCCATGTGCTGCGGTCCAGGTGCTCCCAGGAGCCTCCCAGGAACAATAAACTGTGGAGCAATAAGCTTTGCAGTATATTGCTGTGCCCAATGGCACATGTAGTCATATTCATGTAGTATTATTTTTGTTAATATATTCACCAAAATAGATTCACCAAAATGTTGCTAAATGTCATTTTTATTAAAAAAAATACAAATGAAATATGAATATATGTTTGGTTAAATAAGAAAGCACAATGGTTTTTAAAAACATTATATTTCTTAAAATCCTAAAAATCAGTTTTTCTTACATACCGGAAAATAACCTGGGAGACTGTATTTATGTAAACTTTAAACACATCAGCAAATCAGATAACTAAGGAAAAAATTAAAGTGGTGAGATCCGTGTGTTAGTTTCATTGCTAGTTTGATTATCTCTCCTAGAGAACAGTAACATGTCATTTCACCATTTATATATTCATGCACAAGGTATAAAAAGGGATCTTAAAAATGGCCTAGATTAAGGGCCCAATCCTATATTCTTCACTGAATCATAACCCTCTTTGAGAACATGGACATTTGGCCTGAGGTAAAGACTTCAGGATCAGGTTCTTTTTGTTTTGAGAAGTCATCCCTCTGTTGTCTTTATGACATCACAGGTGACAGTTCATCATAAGTATGAAATGTGACAAAGTCCATGACCAGTGAGTTAAAAATAATGTTGGTATTTTCAGTTAGATCATATAATGTTATTTTTTTACAGTACGCTCTTTTAGTTGTTTGATCTCAGCATCGTGTCTGAACATAACACATTTATTTTCACAGTGAGGGGTCTATTTTCTCTTCGATGCTTTTGCTTTACACCCATTAGCATTAATGGGAGTTACACACACACTTCCAGTGGAGAATAGACTTAAATAATCCATATATATGTACTCATGTGGGACAATTTGAGAAAGCAACTTGTAGATCAGTAACTGATGACTTAAAAAAATTGAAATAAGCTGGTTGTTTCAGGATGACATGATCTTAAATATATTTGCTTTAATCAGAGAATATAACCAGTCACTGTAAGTGAGAGTTAGCTTCTGGGGCTAAGTACAGACATTCAAAAAGACCGAGCCTGAATTGATTCTGGCAGGTTAGTCTAACCTGTGTAGATTGAACTAACAAGCAAGTGAATAGATATTCACTTTTGATCTTGGAAATGCAGCCACATGCTACAGTGGCTCAGGCTAGAAGCTG